ATGTAAATCTACAATTATCTAAAATAAAAATTATAATTTAAAAAATATACTACATACAGTACCATTTTCAATTTCAATTACAGATAAACAACAAATCATCTTGTAGTATAGGTATGTTCCAAACATTGCATGGCTCATACTAATACTAAACAATTAATTCATTGTTTATATGGAATTCAAATAACTGAGAATCCTGTATTTTATGTGGTAATACCACTCTTGACTCTAGCTAATTTTGCAAGTATATAATTGAAAATGAAAGGACTTCTTAAGGGTAGGTTGAGAGAAAATGTGCCCTGATCCAGAAGCGCCTGAATCCTGACTCTCAGCAGCTGGCACATACTCTGCCTCTCATTTCATCATAAAAAACTTGCCGCCGGGCTCAGTGACTCAGCCTGTAATCCCGTGCCTGAGCCTGCGGGTTCGAGACCCGCCTGGGCAGCGAGACCTCATCTCTACAATAAATCAAAAAATCAGCGGGGCATGGTAGTGCATGCCTGTAATTCCGGCTACTTGGAAGTCTGAGGCGGAAGGATCGCTAGAGCCCAGCAGGTCGAGGCTGCGGTGGCCGAGAGCAGCCACTGCATTCCAGTCTGGGCGACAGAGTGAGACTCCAACTCAAAAAAAAAAAAAAAAAAAACCAAACAACAAAAAAAAATTTGCCCACTGCTCCCTGTGAAAAAAGCTACATAGAGTATAAAACTTTCCTGTTTTCAAACAAGAGTGAAAATTATCCAGTCTCCTCTTCCTAATTTAAGAGATAAAATACCTATTTCCTCTAAGAAAGATTATGAAAAATAAACAGAATAGTCAGAAAACTTTGTCTAAAAATAAATTTGGGTATTCAAGTGTAATAAAATCATACTTTAAAAAATATGAGCAACAACTAATGGACACCTGAGAAATACCTCTAATATGATCAAGAAGAAGACAAGTAAGAAAAGAGCAACTTTGTGGGAAAGCCTTTATTCAGGAAGAAGAAAAGACCAATAAATTAGCATTTATATCCTCAGAATTGTAAGATGTTTCAACCACCAACAAAAGCAAAATCCCATAAAGGAACACAGGAAAAAAAAGTCTTAGAAAACTGAGACTGTGATGGAAGAAATGTATAATTCAATGAAGAGTTGAAAGATAAAGTTGTATAAATCTCCTACAAGGCCAGTTGCAGTACTTTGGGAGGCAGAGGCAAGAGGATTGCCTGAGCCCATGGATTTGAGAACAGCCTGGGCAACTTGGCAAGACCTCGCTCTACAATAAATCAAAAAATTAGTTGGACATGTTGGTGCATGCCTGTGGTTCCGACTACTTGGAAGGCTGAGGCAGAAGGATCACCTGAGTCCAGCAGGTCGAGGCTGTGGTGTCTGGGAATGTGCCACTGCACTCCAGACCGGGTGACAGACTGAGACTCCAACTAAAAAAAAAAAAAATCTCCTACATAGTAAAGCAAACAGACAAAAAATGGGGGGAAAAAAAGGGAGAAAAGAAAGAACCAGTCTGTGAGGTCTACAATAACAGTAGTAATGGCTGGGTGTGGTGGCTCAGCCTATAATCCCAACACTTTGGGAGGCCGAAGCGAGTAGACTATCTGAGCCCGCGGGTTTGACACCAGCCAGGGCAACTTGGCAAGACCTCGACTCTACAATAAGTCAAAAATTAGTGGGGTGTGGTAGTGCACGCCTATAGTTCTGGGTATCTGAGGAAGGATCACCAGAACCCAGCAGGTCAACGCTGGGGTGGCCATGAGTGTGCCATTGCACTCGAGCCTGGGCGACAGAGTGAAACCCCCCCAAAAAAAAAAATTAGTAATTCTAGAAAGTATTAAAGAGAAAACTAGGGTGGGGGAGGAGGAGAATTAACAAACTAATAATAAATAAATTTCATAGGATTTAAGGGCATGAGTTTCCAGAATGAAATGGGCCCAGCAAAAAGGAAAAAAAGAGATCCATACCAAAGCTAGTGTTATGAAATTCAGAATAAAAGGGACAGAAAATATCCTACAAGCTTCTAGAGACAAATATTGGGTTTTATACAAAGGGTCATAAATCATAATGACACACGCTTCTCAACAGCAATTCTGAAAACTACATAGGTCAGGTGCAGTGGCTCACGCCTATAATCCCAGCACTTTGGGAGGCCGAGGTGAGAACTGACTGAGCTCACAGGTTCGAGACTAGCCTGGGCAGCTTGGCAAGACCTCATCTCTACAACAAATCAAAAAGTAGCCGGGCGTGGTGGTATGTGCCTGTAATTCCAGCTACTTAGAAGGCTGAGGTGGAAGGATCACCTAAGCCCAGCAGGTCGAGGCTGCAGTGGCCGTGAACATGCCACTGCACTCCAGCCTGAACATCAGAATGAGACTCCAACTCAAAAAAAAAAATGGTGTTTTAGAATGGACACGAAAAAAAAAAAAAAAAGCTAACTACAGGACAATATAACAACACCTTCAAAATCCTTAAGATAATCTATATCCAGCCAAACTATCAATCCAGTGGCTGAGTGAACAGACATTTTCAAATATGCAAGATCTAAAAAATTTATTTCCCATGCACCCTTTTCCAGGAAGCTACTGGAGAATATGCTGTACCAAGATGAGAGAATAAAAGACATAGGATACAGGAAACCAACAGAAGTGGCAAAGGGAAACCCCAAGATGAGTGAAGAAAGATACCAGGATGACATTATGTACTGGGAAATACCAGTCTTCCCGTTAGAAGGGTCTAGGTTATACATCTTCAGCAGTTTGAAATTGATAAAACGTATGTCTGAGTAACTTGAGAGAAGATGTAGACAACTGATGGAGGGTCAAATTAAAATTAGTCTTAAGTACATAAGCAAACAAATATGAAGGCTGGGTACTTTGGGAGGCTGAGGTGAGAGGAATGCTTGTGGCCAGGAGTTCAAGACCAGGCTGGACAGCATAGCAAGACCTTGCCTCTACAAAAAAATTTTAAAAATTAGCCAGGTGTGGTAGCTTGAGCTTGTACTCCTAGCTACTCAGGAGGTTGAAGCGAAAAGATTGCTGAGCCCAGGAGGTTGAGGCTATGGTGAGCCATGGTCGTGCCACTGCACTCCAGCCTGGGCAACAGAGTGAGACCCTGACTTAAAAAAAAGAAAAAAAAAGGAAATGATTAATACCAAGGAAAACAATGAATTGTTAGGAAAGGAAAAGTGATCAGTTTATACATGGCTGAGCTCTGGTTAGCATTTACATAGTCACAATAATGTATAATGAAATGACTATAAATAAATTGAAAAGTTGGAAGGATAGGACTTTAACATGTGAGTGGTAGGGGCAGAAAAATAAACTTAAATCCGTAATCTCTATAATAGAAAATGAGAAAATATCTAAAACTGATAAATCAAAAAGAAGCAATACAACTGTGTTATTTTAAAATATAGAAATTATAATACTATAAGAAAAGGATTGGCAGTAGTGGGAAACTGTCAGGGGAGGGGAGGTGGGATTGGCAGTTGAGGGAAACTGCTACGGGAGGGAGGGGCATACTTCATCAACAAGGGTACCTGCATAATCAACGTTTGTATATCTAATCCTGAATTGTACCCCACATTTTTATAATAAAAAAATAATAAATAAAAATAAAAATATGGAGATACATTTTCTTAAAACTTCAGTTGAGGCCAGGTAAGGTGGTTTGCACCTGTAGTCCCCGCTACTCAGGAGGCTTAGGTGAGAGAATAGCTTGACAAGCCTGGGCAACACTGCAAGACCCCTATCTCTGCCCAAAAAAAAAATTAATTAAAAATAAAAATAAACTCAATTAGCCGGGCTCGGTGGCTTAGCCTGTAATCCCGCACCTTTGGGAGGCTGAGGTAAGTGGATTGCCTGAGCCCGTGGGTT